TTGAACAAAATATGATCTCACTACACTGAAAAAATAAAACTTCTATTTGATCAGTATCTAACTGACCGAAATATGTGAGTTCCACATTTTAGCCCCAACGGGGCTGCGCTGACAAGCTTTTTAACGAAAATAAAATCGCAAAAATGTGCGGTTTTATTTGTTTTTACGCGTTATTTGTCGTTGCTTGTCTGGCTGGGCATTTTACAGCCGCCCATGGAAGATTGCGCAATAATATGAATAAAAAAACACAACTACCACACTATTTATTGCACTCTTCGATATTCTACATCAACTTTTTTTTTAGCAAGCACTGTTGATATACGTATAAATTCATTTGTCATTGCATCGACGATTGATCAGAACTGCAATACACATTAAATGACAGAAGATAAAAGAAAACGTATCATCAAAGACCAAACAACATATGATTTAATACCGGGAAAAACACCACCATCCATTGAAGAATCTATCAAGATCGCATTGAATTCGGAGGACGCTAGATCACCAATGAGAGTCACCAAAAGTGGCATAAATAACGCCAATTTTGATCTGAAGTTACAACGGAAAACGAACTTTACAACAGGTGATATATTTGCGATTCCAAGCTATGAAAAACTAAACTTGGACACTTTTCTTATCTAATAGGCGGAATATACCGTGGTCAAACACGTGAAGCGATTGACCGTATAATTGAAGAATACTTTGCTGCTAAATCAACACAATTTACAACATGGGCAGACTCTAATAATCTTGAACCGTTCGACTTGGGCTAGCATCGTATTTTGATAATTATTTTATAAGTACAATTCTCTTTAAGCAAGATAATTTTTTTCATGTCATCCAAAATTTAATTAAACCTCAATATGTAACCCCGATATATTCAAAATAATAATATCATGATGAAACTAGATAAAAAGTATCACTATTGGCTATATATGAGGGAAATTCTCAAGACGTTTGCGTATAAGCTTGCTTGGTATTCTGAATCTACTTTTTACAGTGCAGATTTTCCTGTAAGTATGGATTCTGACAAGCATTTGAATAGTGTTTTGTGTGAGCATAAAACTATCTAGATGAGGGATGTCATAATATCCACAACTTGGGTATCGAGATGAATACTCAGATAGGATACCAGCTGGATGGATATCTATGTATTCTCAGAGCTGAGGAGTTTGAGTGCATTCGGTGTAACGAGATTGGGTATCCATTTGTATGGATATTTATATATCCTCAGAGCTAAGGAATTTGAGTACATTTGGTGTAACGAGATTGAGTATCCATTGGTATGGGTATCTATGTATCCTCAGAGCTGAGGAACGATACATATCCATGCAAATGGATACCCATTCTCGTTACACCAAATGCACTCAAATTCCTCAGCTATGAGGAACATGGATATTCATTTTAGTATGCATTTTAGATATCCACTTGAATGGATATCGTGACTGGTATGTCGACGATACCCAGTGTTAGGATATTATGACATCTCTGATCTAGATATATCCAAGGGTGATTGTGATCTCGAATACACAAGAATAAGCGTCTGAGCGTAATCTCATCAAAAATTTGAACTTACATTTTCCTTGATTAAGACTCTGTGAGAAGATAAGTGAATTTTTTCAACTAAAATATTAGTTTGAAAACAAAACCACAAACATTTTAAAGGCTTCTCATACCATATTTTTCTCGCGGAAATCTAGTGAATACTGGTGGAAAAGATAGAAAATCATGCCTTTTCAATGGGTTTTAGAAAATTTTGAAGTACTGGGCACTTTCAGCGTTAAAAAATAACACATCTCTGCAGTATTATAAAAGTGCCATAGGTCGGCACAAGAAGTGGTAGATGAACTTGAATAAATAGTGAATAAAGCACAATTTTCCGTTACCCCACTGCTAATCAGCAATTAAATGCTCTCGGCAATATCTGTGTCATGCCGAAGTTATTTTCGATAAGCTAAATATCTGATAGTTTTAATATCAAAATATATAGTTTAAGTCGAATTTTGGATAGAGTTTGTGATTCTTGGCATGGATTCAAAAAGCTCTGCACAGACAACGTATAAGTAGACGTGTAGGTCAAAAATAAAAGGATCATTGACAGGGCGAAATGTCTTAGTGTATTCTTTTATGTGCTAGTACATCGATGTTGATCAATCGAACATTCTGCTTTCTTTTGGTAATAAGGGATATCACTTTTAGTGTTGCATGAAAAAGCTAGGCCTCAACACACTGTGTCCTTATTGAACAAGAAAACAAGTATACACATATACGGGAAATACGTTGTTGTTGTGCTGATTGAAAAAAAAGGTGAAAATTGATGTTATTTAAGTCACACATTTCATACTATTGGCTGTTCTTCTTGAGCAAGTGGACTTCATCCGTTTCGAAATATGCAATGGTTCTAATGTTCTTTTTCTGGGAAGCTTTTGCAAGAGTTGATGTGTGTATTGAAACAAACGAAATAGAAGTCTTTGCTGTAAGATAGTTCTGCAATAATATTTAGATTTCATCATTGAAAAAGAATTCTTCAATCAATAATAGACGTTTAACTACTAAAATATTGTCTAGTATTCATGTGTCGGTTTGCATGATCTAAGAAATGAGCTTATGTGTAGTGCTTCTGCACGCATGGTCTCTGTCAAAAGAAATTCTTCAAAATTAATACCCACCAGGACAGGCATACAAACGTATATGATGAATCTGCTCATGTTAGCTCTTCTACTTCACAGTACATGATGATTTTGTACCTATGTAAGATAGAGAGGGATGCAAACAAAGAAACTCTATCAAAGTTGTATGATTAAAAACGTTTTACTTTATTGAATCAAAAGAAAAATCATCATTTTCGGAAATACATGATCGCTGAAAAGTTTATGAGCACATGTTTATTGCTGTACTAGAGAAATACAAAGTAAAATTGAGGAAATCATTGTTAACACTGTCAGAATGATTCGAATTGTACACAATCATCAGTCTGAATCGTCTGAGATAGCTTTCAAGTAACGTTTTCCTGATCGTTCTACAATTTGTTTCGCCATTTGTCGAATCACTCCATCTCCGCCTCCACCACTAAGAACTGCACAATACAGTCGATCATAGCTCAACGGTTCCAAACGTTCTAATATTCGCATGACTTTTCTGGCATTGAGTGGAATATAATTTGGAAAACTGTGCATGAATGAAACTTGCTTTGGGTCCATGCAAATATGTGGTTCATCTCCACTCAGTAAGACACCATTTTGAGATGCACCTGCTGGCCAATATAATACCTGTGATCCTTCAAAGTGTCCACCTGTTTGTACCAGCTTCAGTTTCCCATCGAACAAGTCTTTTGTTTCACCGTTCCAGAAATGTATGCAGTCTGCAGGTCTCGCTATCCAATTCTTGAGATTTTCATGTATATAAATAGGTACATCGCCGAATTCGTGACTCCAGTCAATCATACTGCCAAAGAAATGTGGATGAGAAATAGCGATTGCGTCTATGCCACCTAACTCCTTAAGAAGATCAATAGTATTTTGATCGAGAAACGAAATACAATCCCAAAGAATGTTTCCATTTGGTGTTTGAACTAAAAATGCGCGTTGGCCAATTGCAAACTGTGGCTCAGTACGAATAGAATACAATCCTTCTTCTTCACATTTTATTTTATTTTTATGTACGCTCAACATTTCTTGGCGTGTTGTCCATTGTAGACCGTTTATACCAACGAATTCACGTTCGTCCTGAGAGATAAAACAACTTGTAGGAGGAGATGAGGCGAACGGATGTTGAACACCACAGTCGACACAAATGTGGCAGGCCATTGAGCGATTTCAGTAATCTGCAGAGAACTAACTACGTATTTGGAAAATGTTTCAGTGAAAGAATACTTGCCGAATGAGCCAATACCCTTTCTGGTCTAATTATAAATCCGAACTCTTATCTTACATTCGAAAGTGCACTACACAAAAAAAAACAGCGAAAAAGAAAGAAAAATCATTCTTAGATCACATTGCATTGTAAGCTAGCCTTGTATTGAAAATGACTGAAGGGTGTAAGAGGCTAACGAGATAATCTTCAAAATCAATTAGTCTCTACTTGTTGCAGCATTTGACCATTCCAAAAGTTTGAGTAACCAGTGAAAGAATTGATTTCGATTTTTGTATCTAGTCTTTTGTTTCAAGGTTATTCCATCAGTTTTTTACTTGATTAATTCTTGATCAATTCATTACTTGCTTAGAAATCGGTACCCTAGTCAATCGTTCAAATATGAAAATATAGATTATACAAACAGAATTAGTTCATTACACATAGGGGAGTATAGATTTATGAATCAAAAAAATTAGAACCATATACAAAATATACGGTACGATGGAAATTGGCATATGGAAAAATAGTTGTCGGATTTTTGTGGCACTCCAGTTAGGATGATCCATTGATGTGCAGACGAAACTGGTGTATCATATGATAAATCTCCGGCAAAGTTGTAATGACTACTTGATCATATTATAATCAGGTCGAAACTAGTTAAGAGCAGCGACATCCAGCAGAAAACAACACATTTTTGCAGAGATCTCTTATAAAATTTCAACACATTTGTGTCAAAATATTATTCGTTTCTGTCCTTTCCAATAAAGATAATTTGTGTTTGTCTTAACTTTTTCTTTTGTTGTGTAGCCACGAAGTGCATCTACATTGTCAATCTCAAGGTTCCATCGGACCTTGAATTTGAAGCATGATAAAACAAAGATAGGCACTCTTATCATTGTGTTTCTTGAGTGAATTTCGTAAGCATCAATATTTTGTAGACACTAGATAAAAAGAAATGCATACAAACGCGTTTGACCATATTGAATGACTAAAACAATTATTTTTTTCCTTCATGAATACGATCGTATTTCGTCTGTGAGAAAATCAAAATAACAAAAGAACAGTTTGTGAAACGCAGTTGAATTTACATTATAGATATTTAACGAAAAGATGTGCATCTACACAAAGATAGGCTCGAACACAATAAGATTCTTTTTCTATCGAATGTGACTGCAATTGAATCAAAGCTTAAGTGCCATGTTATCAAGTTTAAAAATTACTAACTGTAAACAAAAACACATCTTTTAAATTAGTTGATTCCTCATTGTATAACGATATGACATATTCTAATCTTCTCGGTGGCAAAAAATGAATGCTAATAAATGTTGGCATCCCTTGTATTTGAATATTCATCTGCCTCAGAAAGAGGTCTCGTTTTTTTAATTCGATGTACTTGATGCATTATATAAAGAGCTTTATTTTTTAGCGTTGCTTTATAAGTAGAGAATTTTTAGATTTACGTCGGATATACAGTAATAAATAATGCATCTATATTTATTGTATGAAAATAACAATTTCTGATAGAATAACTGCTGACATTGATGGAACTATGCTTTATTTCATTCCTTCATATCATGAATCGCGTCGATTAAATACAAAAACACATGCTCTAATACCCAACCATCAGAGAGAATGAAAGATAGAGAGAAATATGAAGGGCAAACAGATAAGGGCAATACATAAGTTGAGAAGAAATGCCACGACAAGGCAAAACAATTCGCTGCAACGGGAGCGTTACAATCAAGTGAAGATAAATCAAAATGATCATTCTCCAATTGATGCCAAGCAATAAGAAAAGAATAATTGATAATACTCACGTACGTGTGTCAGGCGAGTTTGGAATAATGTTTTTAAAGTTTTTTTTATAGAATTTTCGTTGAGATCTAACTTTAGAAATTTCTATACTAATAAATATTCCTTGCATTTTTTTACAATGCGTTTTTATATCAACCATCATATTCGGTTCACGGGCGTGTGTGAGCGTTATAGAATTTCGTTAAACTAACAACAACTTATTTTGAATGAATACAATTAATTTTTCCATCTTTTTCTGATGAAGGGAGACACTACATAATTCATTGAATGTATCTGAGAAAAAGTAATCTTGCATTTTTTATATCTCTGTATGATAAATACACTCTCTGAATATTTTTTAAACTATGAGGACATTTAATTTATCTGAAAAGTATTTCTTTTCTTTTTTCCTATAATCTATTAACACTAGCAGCAAGAAAAAAAGTTTAGTTTTCAATTCATTTTTTTTCGCGCATTTCAATCTCGACTGAAATTCTCATATCAACTGTGACATACATTTCGGTTAGATTTTGCGCTATGAACAGTTCACAACAAGTTGTGTTCATCATTTTATTGGTTTAGCATGGTTTCAAATCTTAGGTTAATCTATCTCTAGAAAAATGGCTCATATGTTACTTACGATATATAAGTACTATGGTAAACCTGAATTTGGTCGAAAGTAAAAATATCGAAAATCGAAAATGCCGAAAGCTGCATGCAGCTAGCTAAAGAAAAGATATTGTTGTTATGCTAGTTTAGTAATTTATTTCAGTGTATGAGTGAATTGCAACTTTTTGGTACAATTCACACGAACAGATGAAAGTGAAGGTATACAATTTTTGAGTAGTGCATTTTATTACAATCTATGCCAGTAGTATACAAAAAAAATTTCCCGACACTTGATCGGTTATTAACGGAGATATGGCCCTTCTATAAATGTATGACTTTTTCTATTTGGGGGTGATTTCATGCCAAAACAACCATACTTTGAAAGTTCAAAATTTATATATAGCAGAAATCAGTACATGATCATAGATGTAATGGTCGATGTAGTAGTCCCGAAAAATGAAATTTTTTTTATCCATCTGAAACCCTGGAGGGGAGTACGGCAATTTCGAAAAAGACAATTTTTCATTTTTCTGGAGAACCATGTTGACGATTCTATCTGGAATCATGTCATTATTCGTGCCACGTACGAATTTTTGAATAAAAATGGAAGCTAGAGAATAGTGCGCTTTTTTATGTTTATGCTGAATAAATTTTTTCGGAAAAACCGTCAACGTCTGGAACATTTTCGCTTTTGCGGCCATCGTTTTTTTCCCAAATGATACTCTATGATCGCTTCCCACGTAACTACGTCGAAACAAATATTTTTGAATGAGCCGTACTGAAAGTATTCGCGAAAAATTATCATTCTACACACTTTTCTAAAAATTGTCGTTCTACATTCCTCAGTATAATGTAAATTTCTCCCGAATGACAGAAGATTCAGGGCTGAAATTTTTATCGTTGATAGACCTTGCCACTTTATATCTTGAGAAAAAATTTAAGCTAAATCACATGAATCGTTGATGAATTATAGCGCAGTGAAATTGTCATTCTACACGCCTTTTTTGGTATAATGTAAATTTCTCCGAAATGGAAGATGATTCAGAACTGAAATTTTTATCACTGATAGAGAGTGCCACTTTACATATTGAGTAAAAATTTTAGCTGAATCGCATGAGTCGTTGCGGAGTTATGAAGCATCCAATTTTCAGATTGTCATTCTACAAAGTGAGTATAATGACCTTTTTTCAGAAAGTGTTCTTATTTTTATCGATAAGGAAAGGTAACAACACAGAGTTTTTTCTTACCGTTTTGTTACTCAAAGAGTTGTCTTTCCTTTCGTATAATCTCTGCCTCATCAGCTTTATCAGTAGTCGAACCATAGGCGGCGGAGCCATTAGGCTTGGGGAGGCTTAAATATTGGAAGAGAATATAGATTTCGTCGTGATTTACGTAACTTACAATATATTAGGAAATCTGTTTCATGAATATTGTAAATTATTGCATTTATAGTTAACAAATCCCACTTCAACGGCTACGGCTCAGAGATGCTTCAGTGTTATAAATGGAACAAAGACATATTTACGATCCATAATGACGCAACAACGCTTTAATCATGCCTCTATTTCTCATATTCATTAAGGGAAACTAGATCAGTTAGACATGAAGAGCATTTGTTCTGAGTGTATTGCAAAAAAACTAGAGAAAAGACGTTACTGGGTATGAACAATAGTTTTTGTACTTATGATATGTTTGCTTCAGTCAAAGTTTAAGATTTTTTTATGCTTATGTTGATAAGTAAATAAAAATTTTGATAGTATCGTCCCTAGTCGAGAATCACCTAATGAATCCCCAGGCAGTCCCTGTCGTGAGTTCTCGACGAGTTAAGAAAAATTTGAAAACTTTCTACCGAGACTATCAAAAACCTACGTAAAAATTCGAAAGTATCTTCGAAATTCGCAAGGGATTTCTAAAAAATGACTGGGAAGTGCCATAGGAATCTCGATAAGTGAACAGAGTTTGTTGGAATTTCTAAGACACTCTCCACTCAGTTTTTACAAATATTTTACAAATTTTCGAAGACACTTTCGGATTTTTACGTAGATTTTTGATTGTCTCGATAGAAATTTTTCATATTTTTCTTAACTCCTCGGGAACTCATGACAGACCCTTCTAAAAAAGCCAAAATTGGTGGGGACTCTGGGGATGCATGCATTAAGTGATTCTTGACTAGAAACAGAATTTTCGATTGTTCTGCAGCCATATAAATGGATCAATACAGAAAACGTTTTCAATTAAAGTTGTGACAACGAATTTTAAAAGTCTATCTTCTCTCCAAATGTCGACTTTTTATCGTTCGTTGAAAAAACTTTGAGCCTCCCCTAAATTCAAAACGTTCCGCCGCCTATGAGTCGAACTGTAATCACGTTTGTGTCATTCTACACAAAAATACAAAGTGTCTGTCAAATAATGTGAACGCTGAATGAACAAGAGAATGAAGTGTAAAATTTAAATCCATAATATACTTCGATAGATCATTGAACGCTGTACAAATTAGCCTGTTTTAATATTTTTCCTCTCTCTGTTCTATAGTCCAAAAAGTTCATTTTTCTTCTCACGTGTCAGCAAAAACTAACATTGTGTTGTCATGTTTCTCTTATAGCTCAACGATTGTATGAGCTACACCGCTGAAATTTTGTGTGCTAGTGGGACATACTAGGGTAAATAACTTATGAGAAAATTATCTAAATCGGCTGAGAGGAAAAAAGTTATTAGACAAATACAGCTAAAACGCAAAATCTACCAGAAAGTTGCAATTCACTCATATAAAGTCGTAAAATCAAATCTTAGATAAATTGACAATCTTCAAATAAAGCTTAAGAAAATTGAATGATATAGAAAATGTCGAAAAAAAGGTAGAAAGAAACACTATCGAATGAAGCAAACTATTATTAGACATTTTTATATTTCAACATTTTGACTTTCGGTGTTTTTCAAGATAATCAATCCTCGTCAGAAACCCGGAAAATAGTGCAATTCAACTGTGGTTAAAAGAATATATTGTGAGGAGCACTGTAGTAAACTTTTAGAGAACCCCTTGCTATTGAATTGCTAGACAGTCACAAATTAATTGAATATCGTTTTCAGAAAATATTTTGATAATATGAAAGTGCAACATCCTTGTCATCTATACTCATTCTTCCACGCTATAAATCAGTTTTTTACAGTTAGAATAATTTTCATTTTGATTAGAGCCAGATAATGTTTGAAGTCTATTTTCTAACGTTCATCATAATAATTATGTTCTTAAAGTAAGATTTTCGAATTATTAAATAAAATTGGTACCCTTCACGACAACATGGAGTTCTTCAAGAGATGAAAAGTTTAGAATTACGTATTCGCATCGCTTTTATCTTTATTAATAGATTTCAGATAAATATTCTATTAACATTTTCTTACCATATACGAGATGGAATTATCGAATCAATCTTTCATAAAAACAATTTTCGATTCTCACGATACAACACTAGAACAAATTCTTAATAGGGTGGTACAAAGAGTAGGTGAAATTTTAAATGTCGACCGATGCTTCATAGGCGTGCGTGATCCATTAAAAGAGCGGTGCCTAGTGGCATTTGTATGGGGCCGTCCAAATTTCAAATCAAATGAATTTTCCCAAGCCAATTGGGTTGAAGAGGAATCTTTTGTTGATGATGATCCACTTTATAAAGTAGCATTGGCTTGTCAATCTTCTATCTATATTGAAGATGTTGAAACAACTTCACCTGAAATCCTCAATCGAGATTTTGAAAGTCGTTTTTGTGGTCATCGAGCATTTATACATGGTCATATTGTTCAAGATGGAGTACTGTGGGGAACATTAGAACCGTGTGTATTTGATCATCCTCGTCAATGGACAGAAGATGAACATATATTCATTGAAACTTTACTACCTTTATTGGCAAATTATGTTAAGGAATATGTTACGAAGCTTCAGATTGGCGAATCATAGCAACACTCATAATGTAATTCCACCACACGTTTTTTATTCTATTTTGAAGTTTCTAATTGATAAATAACATTTGATTTTTGAAGCTGTAAAAAACAATAAATAAAAAAATTGAAATAAAGATAGAATATGGATAAGATATCACCGTTATATTTTGCAGATGAGGATAAGAGAAAAAAATAAATATTTTGAATAATATATCAGTATAACAACTGAAAATTTAGACTCACACCCTAACCTAGATTAATCCGCTTAGCCTTGAAAACAAATTGAACGTTCTGAAATGTATTAGTGCAAAAAATGTTTGTGACCGGACAATATGATTTGCCAGATCGGAAATAGAAAAACTTAAAAAACATCAATGCCCGCACATCATTTGGTACGGTTCTATTTCCTTCTCTTTCATTTCAGAGTAGACACTCTCAAGTAAACTACATAGAGCTTAGGTATTGTCTAACAACATCAAAATGTAATGGAAGTGGCGTACCAAAATAGAAAAACATCTGGATTCAACAACAGTATCCAACATAACGATACATACCGATAAAAGCAAACATGAACATCACACGGTGATTGTTTTCTAAAAAAAATCAATTATAAACACACATCTCATCCTACCCTCACCCACATCAACTCCCCGCCCATGTAACAAAAACCACATGTAAATTAGCGGTTAACCACGGTTTTACCAGTCCGGCATTCACAGCATGGGCATCCACACCCTCACATTGATCAAATTTTTAATTATACTTTTATCTCGAATTTAAAGTATCTATCAGTAGTAAACACTCTCGCATATAAAAAATCAACAATCCTGGAGGTTTTGTTGTTGTTTGGTTATCTTCGAGCGATGGGCGCCGTGTAAATAGGTCATTGGTGAAACAAGTAACCTCTGTTCATTATTTAGCAGTGCTTCTATGCCGTTGTAACGACTTACTGATATGAGAACGTTGTCATTGATAAATACTTAAGTCAGTCCAAAAGTAGCTGCGGAGGTATATCAATTTTTTTATAGAAAGTTGTGACCTAGAAGAATCTTCCGGCCGTCTGAAACGGCGCCTTAAAAGGCAGGAAACGGCTAGAAAACGGTGAAATTAGGCGTCATTATTCACCTTATTTCGCCGGAACTCGTCAGCTCGTTTTGAGGGCCGGTTTTTTAATAGAAAACGGCCATCGTTTTTCTCCGGTTTTGACATCGTAATCCGGCCTGACGGATTACAGCGCGTTTTTTAACGTTTTACACCGTTATTACGACGTTTAAAGCCGTTTACGGACCGTTTTCTTTCATCTGGGGAGGAACGTTTTTCTCTGCAGGCTGATAGATAAAAGGAAGCTCTATTTTTCTATGCAATTTGATCGTACTTTAACTCATTTGATGATAATAAATTTTTCATAAGACTTTTTTCTTTAGCATGCCTGCTCGTTGTACTAGCTCGCAATAAGTCAGACCGTTTAGTCTTTTTAGCCCACTAACACATTATACTAACCACCAAAATATGCCATAGTATGCAACATGAAACGCTCTACAATTTCCATACGACCACTTATTTTCTAGTTGCGCTTTTTCTTTTCACAATGGGCAAGGTTTTGAGTGATCGAACTTTGGTCGTTGTAAAAACTGATCGTATAGAATTTTTCTTTCTTTCAAAGCAATTTCAATAAACTTTACTACGTACATTGTAGAACTTGTCACGCTGCATGTTATGACATATTTTGGTTGTTAATACAACCAAAAAGGAAATAAAAACTCCGATGTACAACTTACAACCCGGAACCATGTAAACGAAAAACGTCTTATGAAAAATTTATTATCATCATATTAGTTAAAGTACGATCAAATAGTATAGAAAAATAGAGCTTTCTTTTATCTATCAGACTATAGAGAAAAACGTCACTCACAACTTTCTATAAGAAATTGATATACCTGTGCAACCCAGGAGAATCATTCCGATAGTAGGATCCTATCGGATTCCGATAAGGATCAGCCAGTGAATATACCGAATACCATATGTGTTTCAATAAAACCGACGAAATCTTATGGGATTCCTGGACACGAACCTACAGTTGAATCCATGGTATTGGATCCGATGTTGGGTTTTAACGGAATTCAACTCTAACGAACGAATCACCCTTGCGCTCTGATGACTCAAAATGCGTATTTGATCGTGAATAAGAAAATGATTTTTTCCGTCGGTACAGACAAAAGGTTCGTGTTCAGGAATCCTACCGGGTTCTGTAGGGGAGTCGGGTCCCATAGGATTCGATAAGATCCATTGTCCGACTCATTTACCTGGGAACTACTTTTTGACTGACCTAAGTAAATACTACTGTTATATAAGTATAATGGATGTATCTGACACAAGGGAGAAACGGCGTACTTTGGACTTGATGTAACTTTGAGCTACTTCCAGTGGTAAAATTCGCAGAATTTTTCGACTTCAAATTTACTTGAAGTTATATCAAAGTTGCAAAGCTACTTGTTCTTATTTCGGACTACTTAAGTAGTGTTTTTAGCTTCTGCAAGCATGTACTTTGACCCACTTTGAACTACTTTTGACGTACTTTTCTACTTCAAGTCCGCCGTTTCCCCCTCGATTTGACATCGGTTCTTCTTCTTATCTAACTTTTTAAGCTTGCGTCAGAAAACTGATATAAAACGAGCTAAACATGGCGTGTTAGAATATACTGATGAACGAAAAACAAAGAATACTGGAAGAAACGTACTTGAATGGCAATTATGACGTTTCACAGTCAGGTTACAACGATAAGAAAAACACAGATTTCGAATTTCGTCTTCTTCAAAGTCATTTTTGGGTGTGCGTCGTTAGCTCATACCTGCTATTGTCAGAGACAAATGCTTGCTTCTTGCTTTCTACGTTTATATATGCGTTGTAGGTCAAATTTTTCCTAATACTATAATTCTGTCTGTATTTCTTTCGTTTCTGAGTAGTCAAGTCCTGAGAAAAAGTGAACTGGTAGGATTCTTACTCTCTCTTCTTGTGTAGTCATCGATTAATCTGCATTATATTTTTTCAACATAAGACAATAGCAGGTTGTTGTGAAAAATTTATCGAAAAATAATGATTCCAACCTACGTGATGACGAAAGAAAATGGATGTACGCACATGTTGTACTACTTTATTGTCAGATATGCGCAAGCACGAATACAACTTGTATCGCGATTTTAAATACAAATGAGCATCTAACCTCCTTAACGATTACCTATTCACTTTGAATAGCTTGTATCGGTATGTAACGACTTGCATTGTGCCAGTACGTCAGTGTAACGACCCGTAGGGAAAAGGACATCTCGTCTCACTTCTTACGAACACCGGTAAATGTGACCGGGTGTTCGGAAATGATTTTTTTTCGTAAAAATTTATGACGGCAGCTCGTAAACACCTATGTACCGGAGATCGTAAGAGACAGCAGGAAGATCGTAATGTATTTACCGGATGTTCGGAATAGGGTATTTTTACTGTATTTCATGTAACACCTGAAGATCGTAATGAACACGGTCGGGTGTTCGGAAAGTTATTCTAAGGGTACTTTAACATGGAGTTCGTAAAAAAAATTATAATGATATTGTAATTGATATCCAGACTTTCTGTTCTAATGAACAATAATAGTTTGTACATTTGATTACATTCATAATTATGTAAGTAGAAGATTATTCTTTCTCTACCTATACTCTATGTGCTATAGTTTTCGAAGTTGTGTCTAATTTTCTT